ACCCGGCCCGCGACCCACCCGCGACCCGGCCTTCGGGGTGCTATGTATTAATCGAGGGGGGGAGGAGGAGAATGATAGGAGACGCATGGGGATGGCAAGGTAGAGGATGAAGATGAGAAGGAGGAGGAGAATATGGACGACGAGGACAAGGACGACGAATGAGGAGTAGGAGGACAAGGACGAGGACGGGAGACAGGATAGGATGACGACGACTAGAGGGGCAGGAGGAAGACGAGAGGAGGAGGCGGGTCAATGAGGAGAAAAAGGAAGAAGGCGACGATACAGGAGCAGCTGGGGGAGGAGGAGGAGGAGGAGGAGGAGGAGGAGGAGGAGCAGGAGCAGGAGGAAGAGGAGGAGGATAGGAGGGGCTCATCCTCCTTCCCCTCGCACGTGCCGTCCTCCTCGCCCTCGCTGCCTTGTCCCTCGTCCTCCGCCTCGGAGGACAGGAAGGACGACGAGGACGAGGAGGAGGAGGAGGAGGAGGAGGAGGAGGAGGAGGAGGAGGAGGAGGAGGAGGAGGAGTAGGGGGGGAAGAGGAGGGAGGTAAAGGAGGAAAAGGAAGAGGGGGACGAGGAAGAGCTGGAGGAGGAGGAGGACATGGGGGCGAGGACAGGGTGACGGAGGACGACAGGGATGGCCTCGAAACGGGAGGCAGGATCAGCAGGAGGGCGAGGAGGAGGAGGATAAGCAGGGGGAGGGAGGAGGAGGAGGAAGAGGAGGAGGACTACCAAGCTCGCTCTTGGTTTGATGGATGTATACAACCATGCTTGGGGATAAGGCGGGCATCGGCGAAATATCGAACACTGGGGCAGCTTGCGGGGAGGCCCGTGCTGCCTGAACCCAGTAGGGCCACATCCTTAAAACAGCCAGGACCTCCGATACCTAATGCCACAGGGGGCGGCACTGGCAGTGGTGGAGCGAGTCCACGAAACATGCACACACTATCCAAGTGACCCAATATGAGAGTTCGGCCATATCTTCAAAAGCCCTGGGTGTGATACTAACCAGTAGGCTTTCGTTTGAGATGGCATTCCTGAGTGCCCGAGCGGCTGCCCTGGCTTCGGTGACCTGGCCTAAGGAGGAGGCCAACGCCCCCTCTGCCCCCGTGGCTCTCAGGCTTCCTGTCATGCACAGATGCCCGGGTCGTCACAACGAGTTCGGCCATGCATCGCGAGAGGGTGGCCTTGTGAGGACGGTGTTTGCTCGGGGGGTGAATTCACCGCGATGGTAAAGAGAGGAAGCGCGTTCACCTGTGGAAGATAGAATAGCGCCAGAGAGGCGGAGGGGGAACCCAAAATCAGAAATCAGATCCCCAGAGTCTGAGAATCTGGGTCCGCTAGGCGGACTGGGGCCCAGATCGCCTAGCGGACTCGGGCGAGACCCAGGTATAGTGCCACTTCCGTGACCCAGTGGGCGTCCAGAAATCAACTGTTCAGTGTCACGGAGTCGGTGCGGCGCACCGACTCGATGAGATTCGCGCGGGGTCTTTAGCACGTGATTTGCCCGTGCTTCTTCCGTGACTCAGTCGCGGCATGAGGAAAGAATCGCGCCCTCCGAGGGAGCCATGGAGCGAAAGGGATGGCAGGGGGCGCCGGGGAGAGGGAAGGAGGAGGCATGTCAGGAGGGGAAGCAGGAAAGCGAGAAGGATGGGGGCCACGGCCGCCGGAGCGAGGATGGCGGGTGAGCGGGTGCGCGGGGGAGTGGCCAAACGGCCGGAGAGGGCGAGCGGGGGCAGAGGCTTGCAGCGGGGCGGTGCCACCGGCAAGACGAGGCCGATGCTCTCGCATCAGATCCACGGCAAGCAAGGGTTCGGGTTGGATCTGCCGGAAGAAAAAGCAGTCGACGAGCACGAACGGCGCCGAGTTTTGAGCAAGAGTGGCGTCCCCCGTGGCATCCCGTGGCAGACGCCAAGGGAGCAGGTTTCGGGGAGCGACCGGGAGGAGAAGGAAAGAAGGCCGAAGGGGGCAAGAAGGGAGGCGGAAGATCGTAAACAAGAATTAGCCAAGAAGCAGTTCTTCAAGCACCTTCGCCTCACCTTTAGACGGGCCCGGGTGTTTGCGCTGCAGTATGCGACTCCGATTGTTCCTGTTGTGCGGGCTTGAACGTTTGTGCCTTGTGTTCCAGTCTGGGAGCTCCATTGCTCTCCGCCCCTGGCAGGTGCGCCCGCAGGAAGAGCAGAAAAAGATCAGGCGTCCTTCGTCGTGGCAGGCGTGCTGTGCAAATACAGTTAGGAGCTCCCGAGCGAAGTGAACCCCACCCTCCCCCTCAGAAATCGTGGAGGGTAGGGGTAGGGTTCGCACGTGGCCCCCTCACAGCGGGCCCTCGCGCTCGCTGCAAATGGCCGACGAGGCAGCGCTGCGTCCGACACACACCGGCGGTCTGGCATGGGCGCTTGGGCCTGCACCTCGTGCAGCACCCCCCTGGAGCGCCCCCGCGGGGCAGGCTTGGTCCGCCTCCGGGCGTGGCCCGCGGCCTGGCCAGGAGCTCCTCCTGGCCGAGGGTCGCAGAAGCGAAAACCGCACACAAACAGAAACTGTTGCGGCTCCGCGCGGATTTCTTGGATCCGCGCCTGGGCCCCCGGCGGCGCCTCCGGCGCCGCCCCTGGCGCGCTCCGCGCGCCAGGGAGGGGGGTGAGCGCGAATCCAAGAGATCCGCGCAGAGCGCCAAAGGTTCATGTTTGTGTGGTTGTTTCTTCTCCTGGAGGAGCCCGAGTAACAGAGGAAGCCATCAAGAAGACTCCATCGCTAGAGATGGCACCTGCCGGCCCGAGCGCTGGGGAAGGGGGAGGAGGAGTGTAGGGAGGGCAGCGGAAGAGGCGGGACCGCGACCGAACCCGCTGCAGCTCCTGCTGGTGTTAGGGGAATAAGCAGTGGCATAAGCAAAAACTCAGAGGCAGGGGCGCCCCGGCGCCCTTCCGAGAAATCCGCGCGGACCTCCAAGTGGTTATGTTTATGCCATTGTTTGTTCTCCTAGGTGTCGGCCTGGCCCGCGGCGCCGGCATCTGGAATAGGGCTAGAAGAGGTGGGAGAGGGAGCGCCTGACGGGCAGCCCCTACGTTTGTGGTCAAACCAGGGGCTCGGAGCCTTCTGTCCAAATTGAGACGCAGGGACGTGCGAGGGGGCAAACCGGGGAAAGAGGAGCAGAGGCTGGGCAGAGGCTGGGCAACATGGCTTTGGCATCTCTTCTGGGAGACGCTTTTTTCACGCAGCCGTGGAGGGCTGCGCTCACTTGAGCGGCCCCTCCTGGGCGTATCGTTCGGCCAGGTCGCTGCCTATAGGCGTGCTGCCGAGCCGCGACGTGCTGCCACGGTGCATCCGTCGGAGCCTTCCCAGGCCTAGGACATGAGAGAAAATCGTGGTGGCGCCTGGGCAGAGCTGCATCACCGCGAAGGAAGCGAGGTGCTCCACCGCGGGGGAAGTGTGCGGGCAAGCCACGCCCAGGGACCCCTCTTTGGGCAGCGAAGAGTTCCCCCAACGAGCTTTCCTTGACCACAGCCAAACCTGCTGCGTGAAGGGTACCAGGCCATCTTTGAAACAGGACCCATCTGTGAACGCATCGCCCGTGAAGATTTCCGAGACAGATAAGCATTCGGCGGCGCATCACAAATGCTAGCTATCTATACTGGCGCTTGGCGGACGGTTAGGCACTGGGTCTGGTTGCACTTTGGAGCCACAGACGAATGGGAAATGTTTATCAGAGTCAGATATAAGAGCCTTGTTAGAATCGGTAAGCATCTCGTCACGGGGTTCCCCGGTGCAGGAGCAGAAAAGGAAGCGATGAGAGATGCTGTCAGATGGCGCCCCGTGCACTTGCATCATACCCTGCCTGCCGCACTTGATGCGTCGTCCACAGCGAAGAGGCCAACAGTAGTCCTTGAACATGCCGCTGGAGACTGCATTCCTGGATGTGGCGCCCGGCCACGCCGAAATCCAGCGTCGTCGACGCCGGTCTTCCAAAAATGCCCACCATGCCACTGGACTGAGAATCAGCCGCGCGCAGAGGGGAGTCGGGGGAGGGGGGCAGGCTTCTTGGAAGAGGCGGGCTCTGTCTGCAGATGTAGGGCCAGCGCCCTCTAAGAAGCAGTCTCCTTCTGAGAAACTTCCCCCCTCCCCCTCGTTGGAGCTCCGTGTGGACTTCTTGGATCGGCGCTTGGGACCCGCTGGCGCCGTCTCCGGCGCCGCGCCCTGCGCGCCAGGGAGGAGGGTCCAGCGCCGATCAAAGACATCCGCGCGGAGCTCCGACAGTTTATGTGTATGCCGCTTTGTCTCGGCCACGCGCAGAGGGGGGTAGGGGGAGGGGGGAAGGCTTCTTAGAAGCACCCCTGCTTCTAAGAAGGCGCGGGCCTTCTCTACACGTGAGGCCGGCGCCTTCTAAGAAGCAGCCCCCTTCCAAGAAGCCTGCCCCCCCTCCCCCTACCCCCCTGCGTGCGCCGTCAATTCTCCTCCTATGTGTATGCGAGGCTGCAGGAGCTGGGCCAGCTGTGCGCCCTCTTGCGCGCGCGGCCACTGCAGTGCTGCCGGAGTGGCTACAGAGCTCCACGGGGTTGGAAAAAGCCAAGAGTCAGGAGGGAACGAAACACACAGACACAATGAATCGTCGACTCCCAGGAAAATATGGGAAAATATGGGAAGTGGGGGGGAAGACGAAAACCCAGAAAAGATGGGGAAATATGGGGGATCCTGTTATTTGTGTCTATTTATTTGTGTGTCCCAGGGCTCCTTCAAAGAGGGCGGAGGGGCCGGCGCCTCCCGCGGCCCGGGCCCCGCAGAAGGCAAGGAGCTGCGCGCGGAAGGACCAGCCCGCGCAGGCTCAGCGGCAGCACAGCCGCACGGAAGGCCCCCCCTCGCGCGGGGCCACGCGCCAGGCCCAGAGATCCGACGCTCCAAGAGAGTTGGAGCAGCGGGGGTTCTGGCCGTTTTCGGCCTCCGGGGGCCCTCGCCGAACATGGGGACCGTCACAAATCGACCCAGGGCGAAGACTCGCTCTGGAGAAGCGGTCCAGACCTCAGGGGCCCACGCATCAACCGAGGTTGGAGCGACCGGGTGCCTTGGGGGGTGGGGGGCACAAGCATTGGTAGGTCGAGGGGGACGAGGCGGGGCGAGGGGAGGAGGAGGGGGAGGAGGAGTGGAGGAGGAGGAGGGGGAGGAGGAGGAGGAGGAGGAGGAGGAGGGGAGGAGGAGGAGGGGAGGAGGAGGAGGAGGAGGAGGAGGAGGAGAGGAGCAGGAGGAGGAGGAGGAGGAGGAGGGGAGGAGGAGGAGGAGGAGGAGGAGGAGGAGGAGGGAGGAGGAGGAGAGGGGAGGGGGAGGAGGAGGGGGAGGAGGGGAGGAGTAGTAGGGGAGGAGGAGGAGGAGGAGGAGGGAGGAGGACGGGAGGGGGAGGAGGAGGGGGAGGAGGAGGAGGAGTAGGGAGGAGGAGGAGGAGGAGGAGGAGGAGGAGGAGGAGGAGGGAGGAGGAGGATTGGATTGGATTGGACTGGACTGGATTGGATTGGATTGGATTGGATTGGATTGAAGTGGGCACTTCGAGCGGACAAGGCTGAGGCCTCCGGCAACGAAGGCCAAAGGGGAGACCCTGCACCGCCCAGCGTCACAGGGTTTCCCGCCAACCAGCATCGTGGCATCGCCCGGACGTGTGCATTTTTTCCATCGGCGAGGACCATCGAGGAGCATCCTTGATCATTTGGCAAGCAAAAAAAAAAAACGCACGAAACCGAAAAAAACGCAGGGAATGGACGTCCGAGCGATGGCGAGGCGTGCCAGAAAGCCCAACCGCCGAGAGAGACGATGCCTTCCCGGCGGCCCAGCCACGCGACGTGGCGAGCCTGGCGCGCCGCGCGCACCCCCAGCACGACGACCACAAAATCGAGCGGGCAGGAGGAGGGGAAGGGCGAAGAGGACGCGGAGGAGGAGGCGGAGGAGGAAGAGAGGAAGAATAGTAAGAGGAGGAAGAAGAAGAACAAGAAGTAGAAGGTGGAGGAGGCGGAGGGGGGATGGAGAGGGGGGCGGAGGACGATGACGGGCAATAGAGTAAGGATCAGCAGCAGGTGGTAGAGGAGGACATCAAACACAGAAAAAAAAGGGAAAGAGAGAGGGAGAAAGAGAGACAGAGAGAGAGAGAGAGAGAGAGAGAAACAAAACAACACGCAAACAAAAACAAAAGAGAGGAGGAGGAGGAGGAGGAGGAGGAGGAGGAGGAGGAGGAGGAGGAGGAGGAGCGGAGAGCAGCGGGGAGGAGATGGAGAAGCAGCAGGATCACAGTGAGGAGGACGAGCAGGAGGAGCATAGCAGGGAGGAGCCGAAGGAGCAGGAGGTGGAGGGGGGGCGGAAGGGAGGAGGACGGGGAGAAGGTGGAGGGAGGGGGAAGCTGAGGGGAAGGAGACGGGGGAGCAGGACGACCAGGGAGGACGAAGCGGGAGGAGGATAATTAGGGAGGGCGCGGAGAGGAGCACGAGGAAGGGCAGGATGAGTGGCGGGGGCGAGCGAGGGGATCAGGAGCAGAACGAGGAGGAGGAGGAGGAGGAGGAGGAGGAGGAGGAGAGGAGGAGGAGGAGAGAGGGAGGAGGAGGAGGAGGAGGAGGGGGGAGGAGGAGGAGGAGGGATCAGGGGGATCAGGGGATCCGGGGAGGGAGGAGGAGGGCGACGACGACGGCGACGAGGGGTGGCCGCCAGAGCCCTGGGCACCGCCCGCCCAGCTCCGGGGAGCTGCGGCTCGGCCGTCCCTCCCAGGATCCATGCCCCCTATGGATAGATCATCTTCCTCCTGCCCCCCAGATCCTGCCCCCTCCTACTCCCCCTCCTCTTCCTCCTCCTCTTCCTCCTGCCCCCTCCTCTTCCTCCTGTTCCTCTTCCACCAGAGAGAGAGAGAGAGAGAGAGAGAGAGAGAGAAAACAAACAAAAAAAAAGAGAGAGAGAGCGAGCGATGCGCACCTGCGGCCCGGGCGCGGCGCCCGGGGCTGTGTCCGACCGAGGGCGGCAGGGTGAGGCAGCGGGCGGGGCTAGGCTGAAGTCGGGCCTGTCCCCCTACAGGCGGATTTTCGACGAAAGATTAAAAATACCCAACAAATTGTCCAAAAGTAGTCCAGAAACAGTCCAGGGATTATTTTTTGAGTATGTTTTGACTTGTTTGGTGTATTTTTGGGGGGTATTTTTCATTTTTCGCCGAACATCCCCCTGTAGGGGGACACGCCTGACATAAGGCTAGGACGAGGATAAATGGGCTCCAGAGTCAGGCGATCGCGAACATGGATCAAGGAGGCGTGAATTAGCGATGGGTCCCGTTTCCATGGGAAATCGCGGATTCCCACCGCCGAGCGAGGCGGCACAGGCCGCATTTTGGGGAGGGCGCCTCCTCCGATCCATGGATGTGGCGACCGCGCACCATATCCATGGATCGCTAGTCCATGTTTGCGCTCCCCCGACAGAGCGTTCCGAAACGCTCTCTGAGCATCCCAGACCGCTCTGAGAAGGCCGCGGCGCCCGAGACATCCTCCCGCGCCGCGAGACCGCGGAGATCTTCGCTGTATCCTCACACGATGTCATCCTCGTCCTCGCTTCGTCTTATGAAAAAGGGAGGAGGGAGGAGGCTGGAGGAAGAGAAAGGCGCTTCGGCCAGCACCCGACGGGCCCTGCCAGCCCTGCGCTGGCAAGGACGGGCACCCCTACGTGCGGTGGCGGCACGCCAACCTGATGCACCTCTTCTTCCGCTCCCTTGTCTCCTACACGGTGCCGGGCGGCATCGTGAAGGTGGCGTCGAACAGCAGGGCTACGGGCGTGCGCTTCTCGGACATCATCGGGGGCGCCAGGACCCACCCCTCAGCCACGCGCAGAGGGGCATAGGGAGAGGGGTGAGGCTTCTTAGAAGCAGCCCTGCTTCTTAGAAGGCGGGGAGCCCCGCCAGAAGGGGAAGGAGCGGGAGGAGGAAAAGAAGGGGAAGGATGCCCTGGGGCTTTGCCCGAGTGGGGCTTCCCGCCAGCGGAGAGGAGAATACACATCGGATGCCAGCGCGGACGATTCAAATCAGCCGAAATTTGGTCACAGCGGCGGTGTGCAATACACACACACACACACTTTGGCATTGCTCCGATGTGTGCAAATATTTTTCGGCGGGGACCAGCGAAGAGCAGTGTTGGTCATCTTGCACCAAGATACACGCCCGAAGCTGGCACACGCACACGCACACGCGCGCGCACACGCGCACACGCGCACACGCGCACACGCGCACACGCGCACACGCGCACACGCGCAAACGCGCACACAGACACACAGACACACAGACACACAGACACCCACACACACACACACACACACATCCACACACACACACCCACCAACGCACCCACCCACACACACACACACACCACATACACACACACCCACCCACACACACACACACACACACCAACACGCCGTGATGAGCACATATTCCCAATCAGCCGTAGACCAAACTTCAAGGTCTCAAATCCAAGGCATCAAATAATCGGAATGGCCGCCAGGCTAGTTTAGCATCGTTGTTTGTTATCAGAGGGCGACCAGGGCACGGTAACTGAGCGCCGCCTGCAAGCCGTGCTCCCGAGACTCGCTCGAGTCTCCTCTGGGAGATGTGGCTGCAGTAAAACGTATACATGGTGGCAGGAGCGGCAAACTCAGACAGAGAGACAGAGACAAGAGACAAAGCGGGTGCGGGTGGTGTCGATGTTGGCGGGCGTAGCGAAGCTGGCCTGTCGCACAGCCTTCAATACCGAGAAATATTGAAATGACAACGGAGCTGTGAAAGAATGCAAGCACACACACGCAGCCTCCCTTTGAGAAGCTGGGCGGGAATGTACACATATCATCGCGAGGTGCTGGCCACCAGGCGAGTCATACTGTGCAGCCATCTACTGCCTCTGTCAGGGCCAGCTCTCGTGGCAGAGGTGGCTAGGCGAACCAATGAAGGGTTTCGGGCAGAAATCCTCCGAGCATCGAATAGACGGCGCAACGAGCCACACGAACAAAGCCGAAACTTGCAAAGCTGATAATGCTAGGCCATTCAACTAAACCTGCAACCACATTCGGACCACACCCCTGGTCTGTGTCGACTGCGGTGATGGCGCCATCTTCAATGGCGGTCAAATCGAATGAGCTGATGGACGGGAAAAGGGAGCCGAGAAAATATGGCCCAAACCACCTTCCCACGACGGTGGGAATGATATGCTCAAGGACTTGGCCAACGGTAGCACAAATGTTACTGAGCCATACCCTGATATCAAGCACAAATAGGCCAGCCTGAAACACACTCCAAAGACACAAAAGCGTGCAGATGGCGGAGAGGAATTGGCAGAAAAAGGACATAAAGCGTGGGATTAGGGAAAACAGGACACGCCATGCAGAGGAAGCGGCTTATTCTGGGAGCCTGACTGAATCGGGAACTGGTGTGCACCATCAGCATGAAATATGTGACTCGTAGGATGTGGAGTAGTTCAGGCAGCCACGGGCGCCTGCTGCAGCGGCGTCTCTGCCCATTCGCCGTCACAGTCGAGATGCTGAAAGAGGAGCGCGCCAATGCCCGAAACGTCCCTATGGTCGAGCTGCCCTTCCGTAGCACCCAAACTTTTGCACTTCCGCTTCCACTGATCGGCACTCTTCTTCTTGCCACTCTCCGTCCACCAGGCCGCGAAGAGCGCCCCTGCAGCTGGCAGCTGGCTCGCGCAGGTGCGGACGTCCTCGCGGCCATTGGAGATGCCGAGGAAGCTGGGGGCTAGCTCGCGCGGGGCGGCGGTCAGATCGGCCAAGAGGACGGGAGTGGAGGCACGGCGCGCGGCCTGAGGAGGTACGGGCTGCTGCCCAGGCCGAGGTGAAGGCTGACTTTTTCCATGGCCTTTCGACCCCGCTGATTGGGCACGCCACTGAACATGCCTTCCATCATTTTCCTCAAGGCTCTCACACGTCGTTGGAAGTCGTCGTCGTCGAAGTCTGGATGGTCTGTAGCTGGTCAGAGTGGCCCTTGATATCCTGCTGCATCGTGGCCATCTCAGCACGCATGCGCTTGATGACAGGGTCGTTTTCTAGATCACCGGGCGAGCTCTGTTCAAGGCCATCAGCTTCGGCTAAGCGTTCGATCGCGTGCTGAAGTTTGCTATCTGATCCTTGAGCCCCATTCATCACACTAGTGAGCGCTAAGGCCAGATCACGAGCAGGCTGGCTGGTCGCTGCCATTCCTTGAACGACTTGGCGCGCGCCGGCCGCGTGTGCTGGGCTCGCGGCAGTGGCGGCCTGATCTGTTTGACTAATGTTGCTGATGCGGCCGATCTCTCCGAAAACCCGAATGCTGTCGACCATGCAACCCCGCTGTCCCAGCATCGCCCCGACGCCGCCCATGCCGTTGCCGCCGCTTCCGAAACCAGACGAGTTCCCGCCGCATCCTTTACCCCAGTCCCCGTTATTGTAGTAGCACTGGTTGCCCCCTTCGGTGCCCTTGGGAGCTCCTATATCAGAGGTACTGGGCCCTGAGGTAAAAGGAGGTGGTCGTAGACGGGTGGCAATCAGCTCAGAGACCTGGCCCAAGTGAGACGAAACGGCTGCGGAGGTAGGGATGAGATGCTGGCAAGTTTGTTCCACCATATCTAAACAGAGGAATATAGGCGCCATGCGTTCACCTGGGGAGTTGATGTTATGCCACACTCTTCCAACGCAGCCCCGTGGGTATCCCATGCGATAATAGAATACCATAGCCATAGTATAGGTAACGACCAGGTCAATGGTGTCAGGGTTAAGCCTATCCCATCTATGCAGGCGCCCTCTGAGTTCAGATCGAAGTTGCCCTAGTTCTCGACGGGTGAGATGTCCGAGGTACGGTGTAGCACTTTGTTTTCCAAGTCTAGATAGATCCCCACTACGGACATACTCTTCATTCCTATGTTGTGGAATGTATCTATACCATTCGAACCCCGAAGCTATAGGAGCATCCAAGCATCGAAAGACTACACTTGATCAAATTTGCTGATAGATGTAGCCCAGCTCAAAATCCACAGTCTTCTTGTATACATAAAACATCTGCTTCCACAAACATGAACGACAAACACGATATGATAACAACATGGCTTCGCCGATATATCTACTTGTTGCCACCTCAAGAGCGCGCTGTGTAGTAGTGGGTCTAGGTAGCGGGAAGATCGCACTGGTATTCGAGGTAGGACATCACGAGGTGGAGGAAGGCCCCTGACAGCGCCCCCCCCATAAGAATACACGATAATTGAGCTAGAGCAACGCCAGAGAAGACAAATAACCGAAAGCCGAGCAATCCTTCAACCGCGCGTTGAAGATTGCTAAATAAGGATATTGTGCGATCCCAGTGGCGAACCCCAACTCTCCCCCCAATGACAACTTGATCTGCTGCAGTGCGTAGAGCCGAGAGCGTGTGCGTCTTGAACTCAGCCTCGGCACGATGGAAAAGCGAGTCGACAGCAGCGCGCATGGACTTGGACCCCAGGCTTCAGAAGCCTGTCTAGCGTCAGACAAGGTAAATCCTGGGAAATCCACGCATTCACGGCAACGCACACACACGCAGCTTGTCGCGCACTTGGAAGATAGCGCGGAGGTGCGAGGAGGCGAACAGCTACATCTCAATCACCAAAAGCGGAGTCAAACCCACGAACAGCCCACCAAGGAAACAATATAGTTGCAAGATATATAAGACATCTGGATATCCGTCGATAGAGCTGTCGCCCAGGAAGTTGTATTATATATAACTGCATATTCTTCTCATACATGAGCGCCCCGTCTTCGCGCACTTCTTGGCCCCATGGTCCTCGAAACATTTCCGTTCAACTCGATCCTATAGTTCTTTGTGGAGGTGGTCTCAGAATTTTGGGGGCACTGCAGTCGCGCGCCAGGCGGCACCACTGGAGGAGATGAGACAAGGGAAGAACATTAAATCGCCAGCGGCTCTGGGTATGAGAGATTAGACCTAGCCACCGACACTGCATGTGAACAATACTCGCTCCCCAGAGAGTCCGAGGGTCCTTGTCTTCCACCGTATAGCTAATGATCGATCGCGTGGCCTCCAGACTCCTGCAAAGACGATATAGTGTTTGTCGCGGTGCCGTCGTGCCACGGTGGGAAGTGCTTCCAGATTCATCCGGCGCCGTCGGCCTGACCGAAAGAGCCTGAAGAAAGATGGGATCAATTGCAGAACGGCGAAGCCACGACGAACATCTGGATATACTATTGGAGGGCATAGCCTGGCACATTTCGGGAATCCAGGGAAGACGTCCACAAACTGGTAAACGAAAAAGATCTTATCCTTCTGCTGGTAGCCTTAAGCCCTCCATCTTTATCTTGTCCAGGGAATCGACACTTTGTTTGTCCAGGTCCTGGGTCATGGATGCACATTGCTTTTGTATGGTCTGTTCTGCCTCCAGGGATATGCGCGCTCGTCTGCGCGCAAGCAGTGCCCGGGCGGGTCGGGCGAGGGAGGTGTGTGTGGTGGACGAGGTTGACCCATTGTCGCACGGGCTTGAGGTCGCCCTCTCGATCCAGCACGAGCGCGACACCACCTGGACGAGGCAAACCCATCATCTCCAAGTGTGTCGCAAGCGATGCCTGTGCAGCAGCTTCTTCGTGCCAGAAGGGAAAGACCGTGCACGCGGCCCGGAGCGCGTATAGATACTCAGAATTGCCCCGCTTGGCACGAATAGCGGACTGCCACAT